CCCCACTCCTTTCTCTGCCCAGCCCCCACAATGCCCCCTCCCCTCCGCACTCCCTACCAACCCCCTTCCCCTCCCCAATCCCTGCCCAGCCCCAAGTGCCACCTCCCCGCTCCTTGCCCCAGTCCCCTCCCCACTCCTTTCCCTGCCCAAGCCCCCACAATGCCCCCTCCCTGCCTAGCCCCCCGAGCTCCCTCAGCCGCTGCCAAGTGCCGCAGCGCCCGCTACCTTCGGCCCAGCGCTCCCCGCTGCCCAGCCCCGCCATGTTGTTCGGGGGGAGGAGGGGGATGGGAGCGGGACCCGGCGTTACTGCGGCGCCGGCAGAGGGGGCGTGGCGCGGGGCCCCCTGGGTACTGTAGTCCTGCGGCTGGACTACAGTACCCAGGGGCCCCGCGCGGCTGGGGGCAGGGAGGGCGTTAGGCGCGTGGGGTACTGGTCCCCTGCCCTCGCCGTGAGCGAATGGCGACGTCATCGAAATAGGCGATTGCGTCACGGAAACGCTCAGTGACGTAACTGAGACACTGTAAACTCAACCCCCCAGCCAGCCATCAGGTCTGTGGCACCGGGGCGACAACCAGCCTGGTGCCGCACAGCGCCTGCCCCTCGGCGAAGGCCTCAACCCCTCGGTTTCCCCCGCAATGCTGGGAGTACTGAGATGGGTCTGCAACCTCTGGGGCAGCTCCTCGGGGCTGGCTGCAGCTGGTTATTCGCAGCATCCCCTCCTCATGCTGGCGCTAGGCGCTGCGGTTTGGTCTTGTACGGCTTGGCTCAGAGGAATCACTGCACTGCAGCTCTTAGGAGCTGAAGTGAGCTCCGGTGTGGTAGCAGTGCTGTTATTGTCATTGTGTCTGCCCACACAGCACCCGCAAAGTGCACAAGGCCTAGAGGGCCATGCGGTCCTTTGTCTGAATAGCTGACATCCTGAAAGACAAGTACAACAGGAGGAGGGCACGGGATGGAGTTACAGGTGACAGGGGCAGTGGGCAGGGCAGTGGCTGGCACATATTAGTAGATCCATTTGCTTTTGGGGTGGGGAGGTGCATAAACTCTCTTCCTCTTGCAGTCTACATGGCAAAAGTGGATCTTGAAGGATCTAAATGATGAGAGGGTAGAGTGGCCACTTGTGCCTCCCCAGAATACAGGACATCCCCTTGGCTGTCCCTGCTGCCACCTGTGTGACCCCCCACCCCCACCAGTGTGACCTCTCATGCATGGTGCATATGAGGTAGGGTGACCAGATGCCCCGATATTATAGGGACAGTCCCGATTTTTGGGTCTTTTTCTTATATAGGCTCCTATTACCCCACACCCCCGTCTCAATTTTTCACATTTGCTGTCTGGTCACCCTAGTGCGAGGTCATGCTGCACGGAGGACACCATTTTGCAGAATGTCCTGCCCCCACCTGTGTGACCTAGCACGCGGCATGCTGACGGACGCAGAGCAGTGTGATCTGCAAAATGGCGTTCCCTGTGCATGATACTGGACAAAACCACGTCCAGTTTTATATCAGTGCTGGAAAGGGGCAAAAACAGGACTGACTGGCTTAAACCCGGACATGTGGCTGCTTGTGAGAGGATAGTGTCATAGTGTATCAGCTTGAGAAGGGCATTCAGTGTGTAGGGACAGCATGGAAGAAAATGCAGAGAAAGTTGTGGGAGATTCAATTAAATGGGGCAACAAAACTGGCATCACTGAGAGTGGAGGAGGTGGGGAGCATCACAGTAAGAAACAAGGTCCCATAAGTAGAGATGAGCAAGTTGCAATTAGCTTGATTTTGATGTAGTGGAAAAGGCGGGAACCAGTGGTGAGACCCAAAGAGGAGGGTGACATGTTAGGAAGATCGTTTTGGCAGCTGCATTTTGTACAGCCTGAAGGGAGCTAAGTGAGTGTCAGTGAGCCCGGAGATGAGGTTGCAGTAACAGTCCAGGTTGCAGTCAGATGGCCCCATCAGTTCCTGCAGGCTGGATGATTCAATATTGTGGTTCTCAAACTTGTTCCTATTGTTGACCACTTCCTCAGACAGACTCCCTCAGGGACTATCTTCCCTCATACACTGCGTGGCCTCATTCCACACTTTTATTTGGAACAACTCTACTGCTTAGTTACCTGACCAAATTGTATTAGGGCAGTATGTAGGAGGCTGAAAAGATGCTGAAAGAGAAGTCAAAGAGGTAGGTGGAGAAGATAGTATCTTGAAAGCCCAGTGAGGGTAGGATGCCAAGGAGGAAATAAACGACAATGTCAAAAGCAGCAGAGAGATGGGGAGGGTGAAAACAGAGTAGCGGGCCTGAGGTTTGGCCAGAAAGAGGTCATTAGAGACCCTACTGAGAGTAATTTCTGTAAAGTGGAGATATCAGGAGGCAGATTGGAAGGGATCCAAGGCAGAGCTGGAGAACAGTGCGTGAGTTCGTTGGTTGTAGACTGTGTCTTCCATGAGTTTAGAGTTTGAGAAGGGGCAGTAGGACCCTAGGAACAATTAGCATGAAGGGACAGTTTTTCAGAGGTACATGTGCACATGGTTTAGGCAGGGGTGGGCAAACTTTTTGGCCTGAGGGCCACATCGGGGAATAGAAATTGTATGGCGGGCCATGAATGCTCACAAAATTGGGGTTGGGGTATGGGAGGGGGTGAGGGCTCTGGTTGGGGGTGCGGGCTCTGGGGTGGGGCTGGGGATGAGGAGTTTGGGGTGTAGGAGGGTTCTCTGGGCTGGGACCGAGATCAGGAGGGGAATCAGGGCTGGGGCAGGGGTGCAGATTCTGGCTTGGGGTGCAGGCTCTGGGCTGGGGCTGGGGATGAGAGGTTTGGGATGCAGGAGGGTGCTCCAGGCTGGGATCGAGGGGTTTGGAGAGCAGAGGCAGGGCGTTGGAGCATGGGGAGAGGCTCAGGGGTGCAGGCTCCGAGCAGCGCTTTCCTCAAGAATCTCCTAGAAGCAGTGGCATGTCCCTTCTCCGGCTTCTACACGGAGGCACGGACAGGCGGTTCTGCATGCTGCCCCATCCGCAGGCACCACCCCAGCAGCTCCCATTGAAGCACGTAGGAGCCGGAGTGGGCCCATGCTGCGGCTTCCGGGAGATGCGTGGTACAACCCCCGACCCTGCACCCCAGCTGGAGCGCCAGAGCAGGGGCCAAGCCGCATGGTACGGCCCCTGACCCAGTGCCCCACCTAGAACGCTGGAGCGGGGCAAGCTCCAGACCCCGCTCCCCAGCAGGAGCTCATGGGCTGGCTTAAAATTCGTGGGCTGGATCCGGCCCGTGGGCCGTAGTTTACCCACCCCCAGTTTAGGGACTAGAAGGAGAATTCTTGGAATTTGACCCTCGTATTATTCAATATTGCAAATATTTTTACTCTATTTTTGTACAATTCATTTTCAAGGTGACCTACAGAGGTGGGGGTCTAAGGCAGCTGGGCAGCAGGGTCTGCAACCCAACAAAGGGAGGCAACACAGGGTCTGCACACTGGAGTGTGCCTGAGAGACTCAGAGCTAGGAATAATAACCCTGTTCTGCCCAGACCCAGTTAGTTTAAGAGCACATAGAATCCAGCCATTGGGGTTCACTCACAACAGACTGGTGTCTGTCCAGAGAGGAGGACTGGATCAGACTGTGACAGACAGAATTTTCAGTGGGACAGAAGTTCTATTTTCCATTCAGCGCCAAACTATATGTTTTTCCCTTCCGTAATTTTACAGAAGAGTTTGGCAGGTTTTTTAAAAAACATCCTTTGTAGTCCACCTTTCATTCACATTTAAATTATGAAACTAATGGATATATTTAGAAACTCAATCAATAGTTACTTGTGAAAACATTGCATTTATTATTCCATACACTTTATTATCTTCTGTAAAACCCAGCTGCAGGTCAATAATTGCCATCAGCATATTTCAATCCTGCATTCTCCACAATACATCCTTAAATCACCCTATGAAATTAAATCAAGCTAAATGATTGTGCCCGATTGACTGGTGCAATGGAGTATATGTAACAATACATATATTGACTCTGTCAGTGAAAGTGAGATTTATTTTTTTCTTTCACTGCCATCAATGTTTACCTTGAGGATCGATACATCTTGATGTTCACCTCAAGGGAAGTCAATATGTGCATATTGTGCAGCATGTTAAATAAGGCATTTTGAAAAGTCTGTTCCTTCAGGCTATGGAGCAAATTAAGTTTGTTAGAGCGAGTCATGAGTGTAGGCTGGGCAGAGAGGAATGTACAGTTATCAGTCATGGAATTTGGGCTTTAGAATGTTAAATTGCAAAATATAGTGGCTGAGATTTTCAAAGCTACCTAAGGATTTGGATGATACATTCCCATTACAATCAAATGGAAACTGGGGATCCAGATCCCCTAGGTGGCCTTGGGAATCTCAGCCAGCGTAGGTGTGTTTTCACTGCAGACTTAAGTGATTGGCATCTGGATCTCGCCACCCGTGTGAGCAACCTGGGTCTGCCAAGCCATACCCAAGCTATTGCACTGCATCCTCACTTGTGCTGCACTCCCTGCTTGTGTAGTTAGAATTGCTGGGGCTGGGGCACAGCACTTGGTTCTTTGTGCTGCAGGAAGATGAGCTGCTCTATGATTCTATCCCAGTGAATTGTGGGAGAACTTGCCTGTCCTTCTGAGCACATGGGGAGAATTGTGAGAAGGCATTGAAGGACTATCAGTACTGAGCACTGGGGCCATTGGTCTGGGTCGAGCCGAGCACCAGGCCGAGCTGCCGGACCCCCTTCTTCTGAAAGCTCTCCTGGCCGAGCCGCTGGCCCCCTGAGCACCAGGCCGAGCCGCCGGTCCTCCCCACTGAATCACCCCCTTCCAGCACCGGGCTGGCCCAAGTGCCTGTTCGAGCTGCCTCACTCCCCAATCAGATGCCCTCACCCGCCACTGGCTTGCCGTGTCCCTCCTCATTCCCCCACCCAAGAGGAAGAGGAACGCGGCAAGCAGTGGGGACTTTCAGAGGGAGGGTGGTGGTGTAGTGGAGGACTAACCGTCAGGCAGCAGCAGGAGGCAGTGAGGACAACGGGGAAGGGGCAAGGCCACCGTGGCCCAGGTGTCCAGCAGCAGGTCGGCAGCAGCTGTGCCAAGGAAGGCTTAGCCTTTCCTGGCCTATTATACCTGCCATCCATGACTGGAGTGGTTTAGCCTGCATCCTCACTGCAAAATGGGTGGGTGACCAGCCCAAGTGAAAGCCTCACTCAGGCTTTAGTCTAAGCACCACCATACCTGGATATGGGACACTGGCACAATGCTCTTGTGCTGACAAGAGCAGCTCTGTGGGGGATGGAAGGAGGGAGATGTGTAGGGAGCTGGGCACAGAGGCAGTGAGTCTTGGGT